TTTGAAGCCCTTTAGAAGTGATCAGTCTGGATGACACTTTACCAATAAAAGTGTGATTTTGCCACCCCTATGCATCCTTCTCTTCTCTTCTATCTTTTCTGTGATCACCAGTATTTTGTGGCAGAGGATTAACTAGCAATGTGAAAATGTAGTTGTGTGAAGGGAAGAACAAATCTGCTCTCTGTTCAAAACACTCTTGATGTGCTGGATGTCCATGCTGTCATGGATGATGCTTCTGCCAGGATGGCTTGTGTCTCCTGTCTCTTCCTGCTCCAGTAAACCAGATGTTTTCCTTCTTCAGCTAGGAATCTTCCAAATTAGTCACTGCCATGTCCCAGGAATAGAAGCTGTGGTCTGTGTGCTAATGCCCTCTCATGTATGTTCTTCCATCTGGTCCTTCTGTCTGGGGAGGGCTTTTTCTGTCTCTTATCCCAGTGGTATCTCATTTGACTTATCTTTCTCTGTCCTCACTTTCTTTCCAGGAGCACTGGATTTCCCCACAGAATGCCAGCCACATCAAACCCATGCATCCTACCTCCATCCATGGAGTGGAGGACATGATCCGTTTAGGGGACCTGAACGAGGCGGGAATCCTCAGGAACCTGCTGATCCGCTATCGGGAGCACCTCATCTATGTGAGTGTCCTCCCCACCTCCAACTCCACCTCCACTGCACCCCCTGCTCTCCTTAGTTCTAGGGAACCCACATGGGGGAAACTCTGATTGAGCTGAGCATCTGGGTTTCTACCTTCACCTGCAGCCAGGTGGTAGAGGGCTTTTGCACTGTAGAGGACACACCACAGAGTTTATGGATGCCCCAGTGCAAGACTTAATGAGTTAGGTAGTAAGTACAGTTCGTGAGTAGCCCCTATAGAAGTTTTGGGGATGTGCATTAACTTTCTGCACACACAATAACCAGCCCAACCCAGGGCATGTGCATACTGTAGTAATCCTAAAGCAAAAGCCTTTGGCAACTGCGTGCTGGATGTGGCCCTTCTACCTTCTCCATCTGAACCATCAACTCATTCAACCCAGGTGGGTAAAGACAGCAATTGCTGGAGGTGCAAAGGGTGGAAGAAGGATGAGGAGGTGCATGCATGAAATAACCAAGAACAGTGACGTGAGCAACTCCCAGAACAGCTCTAAAGTATCTCTTCCATTTGTGTTTATGACTCATTAGCTCTGGGTTGCCCAAGATCCTGACAGCTGATGTCTGGGGACCGCAGTGTCCTTCCCTAGGTCAGCTCAGTCATGTCAGTGGATTCAGTGCAGCCTTGCCAACCCAACCAGACATTCAGAAATCGAGGGTTTTACAGGGAGCCAGCCAGAACTGCATCTCTTTCCTGCAATAACATCACAAAGGCCACCTCCCCAGCAGGACAAGAGTCAGCATTCAAGTCTCTGTTTTGTTTTTATCAGCATGCTGTATGCTGTGAGTCTGGTGCACGTTGTTGGGGCAGAAGTGTGGCGTGTGTGTGTGTTTGCCACTAGCTAATGCACCCAAACAGCTTATGCAAATGTGGAAAGTTTGGTATTGCTCTCAAATCCTACAGCTTTCAGGTACTCAGGTCAGTGTCTGCTGTGCCTTTGAAGGCCTTTTCAAAGCCACTTGGGAATCTGATTTTTAAAAGGTTCTAGAGACTACTAGATTTTCAGGCCAGAGGGTATTAGAGTACAGCCTGATTTCCCAGATAGCATAAGCTAGCAGACCATGTCCAGGATTGTATCTATCAAGTCTGCTTGTTCTGCTTGATGTCCAGTGCCTTTTGAAAAGGTGGGTTCAGATTAGAGCTGGGTAATGATGGAGAGCACACCACTCTGTTACACAGGCTGTTTATACAGCCCCCTGCCCCCAACTCTGGAAGATATCCATCTCTTCTTTCAGAGGGGGATTTCAATCCTAGACGAAAGGGATATGGCTGCTGAAAAGGCAGCCTCTAATTCCTCAAAGCTTGGAGGAGAACAGAGACCCCTGATTCATCTCTCACTGAGGCACCTTATTTGTGGCGCATAATGCCTAGGTCCCCTGTGTTGTCAGTTTGGAGAAAAATCAATGACCATAAAATGGTTCAGGTGTTGGATGAACCGAGTTGCTCCCTGGAGCTGTCTTTAGGGAACCTCAGCTGTTTATAAACTAGCAAAAATTAGAAAGGCTGAATTCGTACCTGAGGTGGTGTCTCCCTGCGCGCTAAGCACCTATAGCAGTCCCCACAATAGTGCCAACAGAGCCAAAACTGACTTCTAGCTGTGCAAAAATAGGTGCCTGTCAGAGGACATGATTGCTTTAGAGCTGGCTGCAGCTTGACTATTGTAGAAGAGTTTATACTGGAAGGGAAGTTTGTTTGGGAGGTCTACAGCCTCCTCCTCCTCAGAGCATGTCCATCTTCAAAGTAAGATGTAGTGCTCATGTGAGTAACTAAATTCAAGCAACCTGAATGCAACCCAAGAATTACAGGTAGCCAATAATTTGTAGCTGATTGGGTCATTTCAGGAACATTTATCCATTGAGCAACTCCCATTTTTCTTCTGTTTGTGGGCACCCTGCAGTGGTACTGAGTGGGTTCCTGCAGCTCTCCCTTGCTCTCTGAGAAAGTTGGTATCATGTTTTTTCAGTGATGTCCACGTGTCTCTCCCAGGGTTCCTACGTCATGAGGCAAATGCCTGTTGCCTCACTAAGTGAACAAGGGTCCTCAGATAGGATTCCATGTGTGCAACATCAGATTGCCTTTGAATAAAACCAGCCACTTCAGTAAAGCTCTGCCTCTGGGTTCCCTCACTGAGCTATTCACAGGCATCACTGGGCAGAGAATGGATTGAGAGCAGCCCTGAGGAGAAGGACTTGGGAGTGCTGATCGATGAGCTGGCACCGTGCGCTGGCAGCCCAGAAAGCCAACCGTGTCCTGGGCTGCATCCAAAGCAGCGCGGGCAGCAGGGCGAGGGAGGGGATTCTGCCCCTCTGCTCTGCTCTCGTGAGATCCCACCTGCAGTTCAGCGCTGGGGTCCCCAACACAAGAAGGACATGGAGCTGCTGGAGCGGGTCCAGAGGAGGCTACAAAAATGATCCGAGGGCTGAGAGAGTTGGGGCTGTTCAGCCTGGAGAAGAGAAGGCTCCGGAGTGATCTTATAGCAGCTTTCCAGTACCTAAAGGGGGCTACAGGAAAGCTGGAGAGGGACTTTTTACAAGGGTGTGTGGTGACAGGACAAGAGACAGTGGCTTTAAACTGAAAGAGGGGAGATTTAGATGAGATATAAGGAAAAAATTTTTTACATTGAGGGTGGTGAGGCAGTGGAACAGGTTGCCCAGAGAAGCTGTGGCTGGCCCCTCA